TGAGCTCCTGCCGCCTCGGTGGCTCACCTGAGCAACCTCGCAATTTCGCATTTCACTGGAGTTCACGGACTGTCTAACGTGGCAGCTGTTAGTTGCATAAACCAACAAAGGGAACTAGCGAACGTGCAAGATACCCTTCCAAGCCTAACAGCTCCTCTGAGGGGCACCTGCTTCAAGTTTGGACTGTTTCTATCATAAATACTTTTCCCAGCCCCTAAACACCCCTTCGTAAAGATACCAGGAAGTTTTTTCTCAATAGAGCACATAAGTTTATACCACCTCCAGCGGGTTGTCCTTGGAGGGCCGTCATAGTGGAAGCTGAAATGATGGGAGTTAGATACAGCTTTGAATTTCGCAGTAGTAGGCGTAGCCTTCAGGGACGTAGAGCTCAATGTCCTCACCTCCAGCAGGTTGCCCTTGGAGCGCTGTCATCGTTGAGGCTGCAAATTATAGGAGATAGATATCGCTTTGAATTTTCAGAGTGGTATACGTGAGCGTCGGAGAAGAGATGTTCGATATCCTTACCTCCAGCAGGTTGTCCTTGGAGTGCTGTCATCGTTGAAGCTGAAAAGATATTACCAGTTAACAAATTTGTAATCGTTTTTGCACTTTTTTTCACATACCAACGCTTACCTGCAGCAGGCTGTCCAGCAACCGCAGTCATCGTTGAGGCTGCAAAATATAATATTCTTCAGCGTTTCGGTTCTGTAGGGCGGAGGTGGTGCAGTGGCATGTGCCAAGCTTATCACGCACGCGATCCGGGAACCAAATCCTGAATCGGTTCCCACCCAGGCCAAGTAGGCCATCTACCCCTGGGGACGGTAAATTAGTACCATATTCTGTGGGAAGGTAAAAACACTGACTTGTATATCGGATTTGTCACCGCCTGTCCCCACTTCTGAGTTTGCAGTTTGACTCGTTTCACATACCAACGCTTACGTGCAGCAGGCTGTGTTTCGTCATTATTTTCATCATGTGTTTCGTCAGGTGTTCGTGCCAACAAACTCTTCAGTAACTCTTTTATCAACTTTATTTATCTTTATTCAACGGCACTACTGCATCTGAGTGGCGCTGCTCTGCGCACCCTGAGTTATGCCTCATTTCCTTCTTTCGCGGCCAAATACGACGCCTCCTCCACACCCGATCCTCTGCGATGGCGTGCCCATAGTGCACCTTCTCAGGTAAACATGTGGCTCGGCTTAAAAAAATGAAAATTTGTAAGGTTACTAACCTCCAGCTGGTTGCCCCTGTAGCGCTGTCATCGTGGAAGCTGAAAATATGGTTTATACATTTAATGCGCTAATTGCAAGTATTTCGTAAAGAGAGGAAATTGAATCGAAGCATGAGGGTCCACTTTTTACCTCCTGCAGGCTGTCCTTGTAGCGCAGTCATCGTTGAAGCTGGAAATATGTTTAATAATACAATGCGCTAATTCTAAGTATTTTATAACGATGCCATTGAATGGAAGCGCAAGGAAGCCGTATTTCACCTCCTGCAGGTTGTCCTTGGAGAGCTGTCATAGTAGAGGCTAAAATAGTATTAAAGCTACAATAGCTATGGATGCAACTGCCAATCTTTCTTACCTCCAGCGGGTTGTCCTGCAACTGCTGTCATAGTGGAACCTGAAAAATCAAGTACTGATCAGTTGCTGCTCAGCGAAGTAAGTATTCCAGCAAGTTGTAATGGTGGGTTTCTCAAAAGCACGAAAAAAAAGCGATCAATCAGGAACGGTCCTGGTAAAGCTCTATCCATTGCAGTGGATATTGAGAAAGAGGATCAGATTCGTTGGAGTCGTTGGAATAGACTGGACAAGAGCGGTGAGAGAGCGCACAAACGAGCAAGACGATAACGCCAACTCGGGGCGGGAGTTTTTTGTCCATTTAGGTGAGCACTTGAAATCAATATACGCTTCAAGCCGCCGTGCTAAGAAATGCAGTGACGTGAACTTGATGCAATGACACTCTGGCCGACCATACATTGGCCTTCCGCAGCATAATGAACTTCGATTTCTTGTAAGTAGTCATGAAATCCGTCTTTGATTTTTGTACTGAGATAGTGAAAAGACGTAAGAAAAACCGTCATCAGGCACTTCTCACATTTCTAGCGTATCGCTTCAATATCCCATTTACTTGCAAAATCAAATAATTAGAATTTGTTCCCAGTTCTCCGCGACCACGCTTCTTCATCATTCATCTCTTTTTCTCCTTAATGTTGATCCTGCCCTGTCGCGAGGTCCGCTATTCTTCTTCGTCATCTTCTCTGTCCAGCGCATCCTCTGCTGTGACCTACTACAGTGAGATATTTCTTGATCGAGTCCCTCCACATGTCCTTATGGGTCACTTGACTTGTGCTTCAGAAATTCAGCGCCTTTCTTATCGGGTGTTCCTCCAGCCTTCTGGGCACGTGGCCGTATCATCGCAATCGCTGCTCTCGGGCACTCAGCTGAATCGGAGCCGTCTGTGTGTGGATCTATTCAGACGAGTTCAACCGCAGGCTCTGTCCTCCAGCATCCTCAATTTCAGCTGGATGGGAGCTGCTTTCAATGGTTTCCACATGTGCCAGAGGTCACTGCCGCATTGGCAGTCCTCATTGTCGCCGACACGCTTGCCCTTGAGCGTCCTCGAGCACCTTTGGCCGCGGCCTGTGACTCTCCATTTCTTCGATGCTCCAAATGGTTCGAGCTTTACGCCTAGTCCATCGCTTACCAATCTAATTACGAATGCCCGCTCCAACGTACTGGAAGTAACTCGAACCTTCCGATGGTTTCGCCGTGGCGATCTACTATCGGTTCGGTGCACTCTTCAGAGCTCGGGAACTTGGTCATCCTTACGTTCAGTCGGAGTCCGTTCTCAGCGGGCACAGCCTGCCACCTTTGCACCTTGTCCAAGAGCTTCTCGCCTATCCGCAGTCAGCAATGTCGTCAGTCGTAGAAGATTGAATTTCAGTGAGCTTTCTTCAAGAGATCCCGAGTTAGGACAGAGAATAAGGGCGTTGGCGCTGATCGTTTATGTACCCCAAGTGCGCTGTCTATTTCTTCTTGTCAAGCCGTGATGCGTGAAGGTTCCTCGGCCCCATCTTACATGCCCTTCACTATGGACAGCAGGTGTTCTGGAATGTTTCCTTTCCCTGTTCGCTCTACAGGACTCAGGCCGAGACAGGCGGCCAATACATTCTCAAGGCGCAGAAAAGGCAAGGAAGCAGGGTTCGCGCTTCTCGATGCCTTTCCATCCACCTACTACGGATGACAGATGGCATTCAGTGGAGGACTTCTCGGGTATAAAACGAATTGCTTCTCGGACATAGGGGACAAGTTCCCTTGTCTAGACTAGCAACTCGTAGAGATTCATGGTAGGAGGATTGAACTTCATGCCCCAGTAGTTGGAGCACTCGTCGCATCTCTGTTCTCCTTGAAGATGGGAACGCTCTCCAGCCGGCATCTTTCCTTTGGCTGTTATGTTTAGGAGGTAGGCGAACCAACTTACCCCTTACTCTTCAAGAGCCTCCCTTGACTCTGTCGGTATTCCATCTGGACCCACTGCTTTCCCAACTTTCATTCTCCCTAGCTCTCGGCGGACTTCATCCTTCCGTCCAGGGAGTGATGGGACCTGCCGTCGCCTCTATCTGTGGGCTATCCTTGCGAGGGTTCTTTGTTCAGAAATCCCTCGAAGTATTCTTCTAATAGCTTTCTGAATTTAGATGGTTTTCTGAGAATGGCACCTTTGTTGCTCTTCACAGTTTTTACTACCCCGATGTCTTGAGCAGCGCGAGGCCATACTTCAGCCAGGTGAAGGACTAAGTTGTCCCCCTCTCGCCCCCGCCGCCCAGCTTCTCGTGTAGGGTTCGTGTCTATTTCGCATCCCTGGCCTTGGCAACGGCTGCTTTAGCGAGTTGCTTGCAGCTCTTCTCTGGGCTCCTTGCATTTTGCAGCGTTTGTATGCTTCCTTCTTCTGCTTGACGATCCCCTGGACTTCCTCGTTCCAGAACCAGGCTGCCTTGTCTCCTCTGATACCACCTCGCGTCTCTCCCAGGACTTCCTTGGCACACTGTAGGATGACCTCTGCTGCGTAGGTCCAGGTGTCCTGGACTGGCTGTGTGGTCTGGGAGCCCAGCCTCCAGTATTCTTCGGCCGAGGCTATCCTTTTCTACCTTGTGCATTTTCCACCACCGAATTTTCCTCTCGGTCCTCACCCTCGTCTTTTTGGGGATGTCGATGGCGCTATCTGCAAGGAGTGGGGGGTGCTGTATCACCTTGATATCCTCGACAGATTTGGGGGACGATCTTCTCATTAGTACATGATGGATTTCCGTTTGTCTCTGTCTCTCTCCCCTGCTGTGGGTTATCTCTGTGTCTTTCTTTTCGCGAAGAAGGCTACAGATTGCTAAGTCGTGGGCTGTGGCTAGGTCAAGGATCCGTTCTCCCTCAGCGTTTCTTGCTCCTATTCCTTGGCCTCCGTGCACCCTTTCTAGACCCCTTCTGTCACTCCCACTGGCCATTTAGATTAGCTAGGTTGAGATAGTCATCCTCCGGAACCGATTATGCCTCGCCCACGGTCACGTAGGACTCATCCTTTTCCAGCTCGGAGCAGCCGGACTGTGGTGCGTACACGGTCGCTATTGTCCAGTACCTCTCATTCGTGTCTATTGTCACTCCCATAAAATAGTCTTCTTTTCAGCGCGTCTGCTGAAGGCACAAGACTTTGATATTCCTGCGTCTCTTGAGGTGAGCAGCTTCTCGAGACTTCCCGGTAGGCAACCTCAGTTCAGAATCTCTATTAGAACTAGCCTCTTTGGCCGAGGTTGTTCATCACGCCGTAGCCTTCGCCTACTGAACAGAACTCGGGCGAGGGTTCTGCGCGCCACTTCCGGGTGACGTCCTAGCATTAACACTGATACTGCGACTTGTCATGATTGTTGTGACGGGTTTCTCCATCAGCCGGCCTGTCAACCTGGGCCTGACGCTGGTATCGTCCCCATTTTTGCAATTTTTGCAAGGCATGGTTTGTGCCTCGGCAGGGATCGAACTCGTGGCTCGAATGCAGACACTCTCTGCCTACACCCTCAGTCAACACTACAAAGAACCCTCGCCCGGGTTCTGCGGGGTACCGGAGGATCAACAACCTAGGCTAAAGAAGCTAATCCCAATTGCGACCCTATACGTACATCGCTTACCGGTAGGTCTGGAGAGGTAACCGACCGTGTCGTAAGGCGCAGGATTAGGGAGGGAGTAAAGTTCGAGATCGGAGAAGGGGTCAAACTATTCTACAATGGAGGAGGAGTGGTGTGGCCTAGCGGTAGAGTCCACAAAGGTCACTGTCTCCTCTGTGAACAGGACCAGTGATCGGATCATGGAGTGAGAATGGACACCAAGGAGGGGTACTGGACAGTACTGACCGTGTACGCACCACAATCCGGTTGCTCCGAGGCGGAAAAGGATGAGTTCTACCTGATTGACGAGGCCATAAGATCGTTTCAGAGGATGACTCACTCACCCTAGCTGGTGATCTAAATGGCCAGCGGGCTGCCATCTTCAGGAAACCAGCTGAAGTCAGAAGAAAAAAGGGAAGAAGATGACTGCGAGGGACTCCTGAATGGAAATTTCCTCGCAAGGATGGCGAACAGATTCAGGCGATGGCAGGTCCCATCACTACTTAGACAGAGGACAAAATCCGCCGAGAGTTAGAATGAATGAAGGTGATGAACGCAGTGGCTCCAGATGGGTACCGACAGAGGCATGGAAGCCCCTGGAGAGCGTGGGGTGAGTTGGTTCACCAGCTTTCTAAACAACTTGACAGCCAAAAGAGGATGTGGGTCTTTAAGATAGGACTGGTTGTGGATTAACATCACAACCATTCCTATCTTGAAGAGATGCGACGGAGTGCCGTGAAGCTCTACGAGCGATTAGTCAACGCAAGGCTGAGGGAACTTGCCCCTATCTCAGCGAAGCTCCATGCCCGAAGAGTTCGAAAGGCATACACGATGGGGCCGAGAAAGCTGCACGCATCACGGCTTGACAAAAGAAATAGACAGCGCACTTGGGGGTACATAAACGATCAGCGCCAAGCCCTTTTCTCTTCGTCCTAACTCGGGATCTCTTGAAGAGAGCTCACTGAAATCAATCTTCTACGACTGACGACATTGCTGACTGCGGATAGGCGAGAAGCTCTTGGACAAGGTGCAAGGTGGCAGGCTGTGTCCGCTGAGAACGGACTCCGACTGAACGTAAAGAAGACCAAGTTCCCAAGCTGAAGAGTTCACCGCGAACTAATAGTAAATAGATCGCCACTGCGAAAGCATCGAAAGGGCCGAGTACTTCCAATACCTTGGAAGCGGTATTGTAATTAATGATAGCTTGGACCAAGCGGCAAAAGCTCGAATCATTGGAGTCTCGATGAAATGGAGCGAGTTCACAGGCGTACTCTGCGACCGACGGTGCTCAAAAACGCTCAGGGACAAGGTGTTCCGGGTGGTGGTGAGACCTGCAAGGCTCACGGGTGAATGCTGGCATGTGGAGAACCATGAAAAGCAGCTCCGCTCAGCTGAAATGAGTATACTGAGGAAGAGTTGCGGTTGAACTCGTAATAGATCCAGATACGAGACGTCAGAGCGGTCACACA